ACCTCTGATATCCATTTCCTTTCTAATGTCACATTTTCGAAACATCACTTTTCCTCCATGAATTTGCTCTAATTCTCGAACTGTCTCTCGTCCTTGATCATCGTCAACATCAACGAAACATACCTGGTATGATTTATAATCGAGGCATCACTTGTATATCAAAGTAATATTACAGTTCATACAAAAGATTAACCCTAATGTATTAAGGGATGGGGTAGGGCGTTTCATTTTTCATGAATGTTTTTAGATCAAAATGGCCATTTAACATGGAATCACAAATGTTGCTAGTAGTCCATTAATTTTTTCAACAAAATCGGATAACATTAAGACTGGTACGTCTGCCACTGGATCACATTGTGGGTGACCCCTTTCCCAGATTGGTAAATTGGCAATATCTTTGCGATAAAAAGGGGTAGAACAGTCTTGTCTGCATCAATTGAAAGTGTTTTGATGTATTTCAAATAAGGGAAAATTGGTAAGCAAATGATAAACAACAAAGTGCGAAACAGTGTGTTCCATCAAAAAGTGGCCCACAATGAAATCCAATGTGACAGAAAGAATGGCAGATGGGCCAGTTTTAACGTTATCTGATTTTGTTTAAAACAAATCAGTGAACTACTAACACCAATTGTAGCCCCGTGTTCAATGGCCGTTGTGATCTGAGAACATTCCCGAAAAATGAAACACCCTGGGGGGGACAATTTCTATTTTTTTGCATTTTTGTGCCACCGTTATAGTTTAGTATGGACCTCTTTAGATGAGACCCTTTGGCGTTAAAATTAAGGTGATCTATGGTTAAAGGGCAAAGTTCAGATAAGATTTGATGCCAATAATAATGAAATTCATTGTTTCTAATACTGTATAAAGTGCAAACTGATGATTATTGCTCTGTTTGATCAATAGTAAATTAGTATATTGAATCATGTTTCCTTCCACAAAGCTTCATTTCATTAAAATTGAGCAACATATAACTCAAGCATTTTTCAAACATAAACATAGTTAATTACCAATTATATCGTGTTATTCTGTTCATGATTTTGATAAAAATCGTTTTCTATAAACTTTAGATATAGTTTTATTATTCCACCCTCCCCTTAATTTTATTTCTTAATCACTAATTGGTATTTTTGTACATCTTGAAAAATGAATGCTTAAGACAAAAACAAGTTGAACTGGAAATTGTTCATTATTCCATTTCGCGTTATATTGTTTTAAAGATAAATTCAGTACGTTTTTTCCTTTAATTGTTACCATAAAATTGACAATTTATCATAAAATGTAAGAAATTACATCCCCGTGGGTCGATTTGACCTTTGTTAACCTGATTATGAAAAAGAGTTTATGAAAAGCAATATCAACATGAATTATAAAAGACAATTGATATAAAAACGCCGAGTGGAGCTGGTTGCCCTAATATACCTCCCCCCTCTGCGACCTATAGACCTTTGTCCATAGACCGTAGTCTTATGCCCTTAAAACATATTTAAACTATAGTCCCTTATATACATGCAGGCCAAGCTATTTTGGCCTAAACGCATGTTCGGAAGTTATGTGCTAGAAGCAATTTAAAAGATTTAAAAAGTATCAAATTTCGGCTGGTTAGAATTCTTTAACACAGTGGCGTGACCTTACATGACCTTTAATGTTAATGCTGACAGCGTTCAATGAGGTTGATACGTTTAATATGGGAGCTATAGGATGCTTTAATCAACCACATAGGTTGACTTGATTTATTGCAATGATAAACCGATCCAACAGAGAGGGAAAACAAGATAAAGTAAAATATAAAACATATAACAAATCAACTCGATACTTGGTAGAAATTGTGACTATACAGTAACAGGAACTTACTTTGGCTCCAAGTTTGAGTAGAGACGTGACTATTGATTTACCAATACCCCGAGCTCCCCCAGTTACTACCGCAACTTGTCCCTCAATTTTCATTATCGATATCCTAAGTATACATAATATAGCATTGCTCAACTTATCTTTTAAAGATGCAGTATCGGATATATTTTCACCTCTGTTTGTACAGGTTTTACTTCCGGTTCGAGTACAGCTAGCTCCTCAGAACGTCAGTTTCGCAGTTTTTAGATCATAGTCGTCCAATAGTCCTGCTTCAAATACTTTCAAAATATATAAAGAGAGCAATGTATACTTACTAAAATTATTTTTGTTTCTTCCTACGGTCATAATTGATGATCTTATAACTAGAAATGTGCAAAAAATTCTAAATTAGAGCCAGTGGTTTTCATACAACCACAGCTAAAGCTGTTGCAATTAATTCGCTATAGCTAATTTTCTTCACAGTCAGCACCATCCATCTAATTTTGGGTAGTCATAATATAATAGCTCCGGTACGGTACTGTCATGGTATTATTTTATATTGTGAACTACTCTCTCTAGTGAACCTCTGTATCTAGTGAACACCTGTATCTAGAGAACACAGTATCTCGTGAACACCGGTGACTAGTGAACACCAATTCTTGGCACAGTATCTACTTATTGCAGTGCAGCAAAACCTTTATCTAGTGAACACCTTCTCTTGTAACACTTGTGTCTAAAGAAAACCTTTTTTCTAGTGAACACCGATTCTAAGCACATAATGCACTGACTGCAGTGCAGTAAAACTGGCCTGTATATAGTGAGCACCTTCTCGAAATTGAAGACCAGTGTCTAGTGAACACCTTGTGCCTGGTGAACACCAATTCTTAGCATATGGTCCACTAACTACAGTGCAGTAAAACTCATATCTAGTGAGCACCTTTATCCACTGACCACCACATCATCCACCGACTACAGTGCAATGAAACCTGTATCTAGTGAGCACCTTTCTTATGTGAACACCAGAATCTAGTGAACAACAATTCTTACCACACAATCCACTGACTGTAGTGCAATACAACCTGTATCTAGTGAGCACCTTTCTCATGTGAACACCAGGGTCTAGTGATATTGATTTTCGTGTATTAATTCTGTATTCCCTATTGTCAACAGTGGTTAATAAGCCCAAGGTGGGTTGGGTAAAATGTTAATTAATTGTTTTATATTTGTTAAATTGTGAGACTGACCATTATAAATAAATGAATTAACTAAAACTAAACTAAACTTAACTATAATTGTCATTTAGTATTGGTGAAGATTTCTAGACGACTCGTTATCGTGTCGTATGCAATTCTCAAATGTTGAAGTGTAGACAAACTTTTTATTATATTTACTGTATTGTACATGCTTAAACAACATTTGCTCTGAAATAAAATGTAAAGAAAAATCAAAAAAATCGTGACAGTGTTGATTTTTATGATTTTGATTATTCATTTGATTTTTCCCAATTGTTAAGGTTTGTAAGGTTTTCTAAATGATTTATTCTACTATTCCATGGCTTTAAATTAGCTTTTACAATGTCAATAATCAAATAAACACTAAGAGCCTAATATTTTTCCGTTAATACCAGCTAACTTAGTAATTGCGTTTTCAAGGCGTTTTCTTATGAATATGGCCTAAGCATTTTGTTTATTAACTGCTAGGTCACATGACATCAACATCTTCAAAAGCATTATATTGATCTATTATTGCCTAAGAGTTAAGATCTATCATTGCCTAAGTTTGGTAATCGTCTAATTGAGCTATTTTGATTTCTTTGTCACCAGGCAACAATTTGCCATTAGCATCCTCGTCTAATTCGAGATGCAAGTATTTCAGCACTTAAAATATGAAAAGTAAAGAGTACTACGGCCCTACCTTAACCAAGGAGTCCCTATGATATGGGGCTACAAAGTACCCCCCCCCCCCCCGGTGTAACTTTTTTGATTACATTTAAAGGAAGCAATCGTGTTGCTTGATTTTTATATAGCTTCTAGGGGTATGTAACATTTTAATGGAAAAATCATATATGGGGAATAACTAATTACATTACCATTTATTAATAGAAAATGTCAAGTTCATCATATATTTTTCTATGTTGTGCTATAACATGAAGTTCAGTATAATAATGCTGTAAAAAATAATAAATTAGTATTATTGAATATGATTAATGAGCATTTTACCTTATATTATGTTTGGTGTTAGGTTCTTAATTGTTAAAATACTAAGATACATCATTGTTGAATAAAAGAAACACGATTTCGGTGTTTTTGTTATACTCCGTCAATAATTAGCCAAAGACATAAACTATTTGGTGAAATACGAATCTTGAGACGTATAGCTCCTTTTTACAAGGAGGTTAACGAGCGTTCAAGGTCAAACTACCATTTGTAATTACACTACAACTTTGAATGTTAAAATACGTTTTAATCAATGTTTAAAGGATGGAAGGGACGTCGTACCATCAACACGTTATTAAAAGTAGGCCCCCAAAGTCCTTTTTAAGAACCCATATTCTTACTGTTGAAAATAGATTCTAGCAATGAAATCAAACAAGAATGTACTTGTTCAGACTCAATCAACTTGAGTTCTTCTGTGAAAATGAGGATTTCGGTGTATTGACTGACCACTTACCACAACATTTTCCGGTGATTAACATTTACATTAACTACGTTCTTAACACAAAGGCCTTTTTGAATTTTTTGGTTAGTACTAATGGCGTATTGGTAATTATTGAGTGGGAATAAATGTGTGTGGACAACGAAATGTTAACATAACCTCCCTAAGTTAAGTTGTAAACATTGATTTGATAAATAGAATAATACGTAGAAATCCAATAAACCAAAATAAGTAAAAACAGAGTCTTCAACACTTCGTAGAACAATCACTAACATTAATGTGATACTTTCGGTAAAACTACATATTTATATAATAGGAGGTTTAACGTTGCAAATAAAATCGAAAAAAACCAACTTGTACAATACATCGCTTAAACAACTTCCGTTCGCGTTTAAGTCGTGAAAAACAGTGCATGCTTAAGCTCCCTAAAAGTAAATAATATGGCTTCCTGTAATGGAAATCAATATAAAATGATTACACGTTTATTCAAACAAAAGAAGGGTAGGGTAGTCTGATAAAAACTACACGTTATGCAAATATTATAGAATTTGGTGGAAACCAACATCGATAACGATCCCCTATCTATGACGAATGGTATGTGACCACAGTTGGCATTTAATTGAATGTAAGGAAACCAACGGACCTAGAGGCATCGATTGCGTAAAAAGGTGAAGATAACGAACATGAAAAAAGGATGGTTTTTGATCCCCACACTGCATCTCCTATGCTGCAATATTGCGACCAGTTCTCGTGGAGTTTACAGGTTCTATAGAAATATGCAAGCTGGTCTCTCTAGCAGTGTTCATGCATCAAGCGTCGATGATTGTGCAGTTCTCTGTTCTGAACAAGGTAGTCAATGTACATGTTTTCATCATGATGCGACAAATGGATGCTATTTCCTGAACTCCATCCAGGAATTAATTCCAGCATCGGCATCGGGATATGACCTGTACTGTGAAAAAGGTAAGGGATACTCCGAAAGAATGGTAAGCTGTCACTCAGTTTGTTAGCCAAAAATATTAACCAATGGATAGTTTATCAATTACTCAAATTAGGGGAAACCCAAAAGCAGTGAAGATAATATAAATGTAAACATTATAAACCTCTTGAAAACGGTTAAAATAGTAAGCTATCATGTTTGAAGATATGAAAAGAAAACATACAGAAAAAAGTATTTTTGAAACCCGCTTTTTAAGAACACAAGTTAAGAACACTTTTTTAACGAAGTTACACAAAATGAGCATGTCTATGTTCATAAAAAAACTATAAAAGTACTTCATAGATCATCTCGTATGTTTTGTGATAACAAAGACAATTAAATTATCCATGCAATGAATATATCATTTTGCGAATGACTCTAAATTCTGTTTGAGGTCCAATAACACTAGGAGTAAAACCTATTGAAAACGGCGCCGGGTCAGTCATCATTCTCTAAAATGTCCCATTACTCTTTTATATTTATAACGGCATCATAAAGTGACATTATAATATTTATCTATGTTTTCAGTATAACTCTGAAGGTATTGATAAGATCTATTTGTATTGGCTTTTTTATAATAATTGTTTTTATAAAAATGAATTTTTTGTCCAGCTTCGGGGAGCATTTTCAAATGTGAAATACAAACTTGATTGATTGTCGAAATATTCTATCTTCTTCAGTATTCTGTATATTGTATTATTTGTTATAAAAGTGCCCATATACTACTATCTCACATTATTTTATGAACTGTAGAAAGACATCAAATAAAATGTTGCCTTTGATACTGAGCCATGTTGATAATTTTATGAACACGCATTTATATTGAGGTATTTGTCGACACAGTTTTCATGACAACCATAAATGACAGACTTATGTAACGTTGCCTCGGATGGATTCCATACTATTTCATTATGGTCTTGTGTAATAATTTTGAGAACTTGAAAATCCAGAATGTTATGATATGAATCGACGAAAAGGTTTGACTCATTGCGCTAAAATGACATATGTATGGTATATGTATGGTATGGTATAAACATAAGAAGACCAGTCCATTATAAGCTATACTTTCTTAATGATTTGGGAACATTTATTTCCAGATATACCTGTCACGATGTACCTTGGTTGCTATGGAGACACAGGGTTTGATAGAGATATGCCTGCTTCTGTGTCACCATCTAGTTTATTGACTCCACAAGTCTGTATTGCTGACTGTCGGAGTTTGGACAATGGTAACATATAGTTTAAATTACTCATACTTTAATCACATCATGGTAAAAGTGAATATATTAAAAACTTGATAAAACATGAATGTTAAATGTTCATTTATGTAAGTTCCTATAGGTCGTATTGTTGATATCTCATCATGCATTACACAAAAATACAATGATTGGTCAAAATGTTTCAAACAGTAACTAGATTTGAAGCACATATTATTTTCAGGGGTAATAAGCAAAATTAATATCCAGTATCCCAATTTGTGTATGTTTTGTTGATGGGCTAAAACGTGCAGCAATTACAAAAACGATGAATATGATGCTAGGCAAAAGACCACTGGAAGTCCAAAATCGTCAAATGGAGCCATAGTTTCGAAAGTGCTAACAGTGCAATATGCAACTTTGACCTACCCGGACCACTCTAATGTAAAACTAGAAAAATAGCAACTCCACAGAGTAGCTAATCAAGCCACAGCGGAGTAGCAAAATTAATCGAACAAACCATATGTTGATGTGATGCGATACCATGAGTATGGTTAATATTTCTTGAGAAGAGGACTCATGACCAGCATAAATCATAACCATATTTTGCGCCGAATCCTATAACTAGTAAAAATTACATTTTTCATGAGCAATGAAATACATTAATTGAGCAATTATCTTGGAAACAGAGTTATATTTCCCTAAAGCATTAGCATGTGGCATTTGAACCAAATCCATCAACTGATCTTTCAGTTATTAAAGATTACATTTTTACCGAAAAATGGCGCCCATTTTGACATTTTGAACCAACTGATATTAATTTTGCAAAAAATGGCGGCCATTTTATAATGGTTTGCAAAGAAGTTATTACCACATTGTAGTAGGACCATGCTAACAGTTTTGAGATCAAGCTCATTATTAACAATAGAAAGCAGATCTTAGAATGGAAATCAAAAGTTCAACATTTCTTTACAATTTCTCAGTGCTAAGAAATATAAAGGTTACGTTTTACTGATGTTGAGTTTTATTGAGATTGAGTTGACTAAGGGTTGAGTTGACTTGGGATTGAATTTTACTGGCGTTGAGTTTGACAGGTGTTGAGCTTGATTGGGCTTCAATTTACTGGGTTGAGCTTATTTGGGGTTAAGATGACAAAGAAGCACTCCGCTACATTATCTGACATTATGTTTGTTCCCCTGACACATGTTACTTTGTTTAGAAGCGAAAGACTAAGCGTAAGGTACTTTAAATATGGAAACATTTAATAAATAATACAAATTAATTCGATAGTATGGGTAATGATACGGAGAATCTCCACTCTAAATTTTATATTGTAGGTTACCTTTATGCCGGAGTGCAGAACGGAGGCCAATGCTTTTGCGGTACGACTTATGGGAAACATGGAACAGTTACGAACTGTAATAAGGCATGTCCAGGTGACAGCACAACGATGTGTGGAGGATTCGATGCCCAAAATATTTATGTAATCTTGGACCCTTGATTTTATCAATGACATAACAGTTTTTGGCAATTATATACACTTTTTAATATTTAATTACATGATTGAAGCGTTTTGGACCAATATTCATTAATGTAAGTATGGTAGCAATTTGATATTTATTTGTTATTGATAATGCAAACGGACACCAAACAAGTAGTATGCCAGTATTGTAATTTGCATGTTTTAAAGCATGTAAACGTGATTCCAACATCCCCTGCGTCTGATTTATTAACATGCATACATTTTCATGTCACCACCAAAAGCGGTTGGCGTTGGTTATTGGCGGTTGGTGTCTGTAACAAATTCTAAAAACTTCAGTTTTTTTTTAAAATCATTTACAAGTTTTCAGAAATTCAAATCGGACCTTTTATTTAAGATTTGACCTTCAGTTATCTTTTCAAGGTAAAAAGGTAAAAAAATGTATTTTTCAACTCATCTATTAGTTATCAGAAATTCAAATCAGACTTTAGAGTTGAGATTTGACCTTCATCGACCTTCTCAAGATCAAAAAAGTTCAAAAGGGTCTTTTTTCAACTAACTTCAAAATGACCAAATGTTTTTCTTCAAACTTATCTACAAGTTATCAGAGGTCAAAATCTGACTTTAGACTTAAGATTTGACTTTCATTATCCATCCCAAGGCCATTTTTTAACTTATTTTTTTAAATTGACCAGTCTTTTTTTAAAAAATCATCTACAAGTTCTCAGAAGTAGATCTTAGATTTGAGATTTCACCTTCAATGACCTTCAAAGGGTTAAAAACTACTTTGTCAGCTTGCTTCAAATTGATCATTTTTCAAAATCATCTACAATTTCCAATAATATTATATATATATAGATGTTGTTATGTATATGCCTTGTTTATTAAAGATACACTCCCATAAATAATGATCCTTATGTATTATTTCGCACATTTGTGTGGTGATGCAGTATTTAACCTTTAAACTTCTGAGACCAGTAACCAATCAGAATCATCCGGATTCAGGGGTTTCTTTTTCACAAACTAACAAGTCTCATTTACAGATATTACAACTAACAGCCTAATGCTTAGATATCATCGTGGTAAGCCCAGTCAATATGGTACAACGAAAATGGGACTTCTGCGCATGTTAAAATTTTTCGTCAAAACTCAACTTTTGTTCAAGTTGATACGATTGTCTTTCGAACTAGAGACTTACCCCATTCGAAAGATCATAAAAGACTTTATCTATACTGAAAATCTTAGATCCAAACATAGTAGAATACGCCGTCAGTCCGTATTTGATTTTTTGAAGTGAGTTTCGTAGATCGTCAGATTTCTCCGACTGATATCGGGTTATCTCAAACTGGTTCGTTTATAAATACGAATTTCTTTACCGTTGTAAGGCGCATGCGCAAAATTGATTTATAAACTTTATTGGTTGATGGTTTTTCTCCTGCGCATGCGTGAAGTCTGATGAACACTTATGACGAAGACCGGAGCAAACATTACTAGCTCTCGAACGAAATTCCAAGATTCAGGTCATTTCGCCGTGTTTGCTAAGCGTGTATACGTGAATGACAAGCTGTTTTGAGTAGATCGGGTACCTGTTTTAGACACAACATTGATTTAGCTTGACATTGATGTGCACATTGGCACTTTTGAGCATGTTAATACAAGTTTTTACACGCTTAGCACGAGACGGGTTTTCGAAAAATCTGTTATCTGATTCACTCGATTATCGTATGGATATGTATTTCTGCTGACATTTCAACACCACATCACATAGATCTACGATGCAGAATGATAATAAAACACAAAACAACTACTAAATTCCACTTGTTATTTCACAGGAGGTAAAAATGCACAGTGCCTAGATTCTTTGTAAGGGTCGTCAGACATCGGATTGGCCGCCATATTTGAAATGAAAATATCACTAAATAGAGGTCTGCGCATACCTCAACATTTCGACTGAGCCACGCCCTCTCAATGAGTATCAGAATGCCTAGATATGATACATTTAAGAAACAGATGAGCCTCGCCATAGGAAAACCAGTCTTATTACAAAAAATGAATGATGCTACAGAGCCAAAAATGTGCTCAAGATTCCAATCCATATTTTGATCTATATATGCAACGAAAAATTGTCAATACATAAGCCGTGGCCCTTTTGATGGGTGTCTTTGTGCTTTTTAGGATAAACAAATGATCGGAATATTGAAAAAATATGTGATAAGACCCCTCTTCCAGTGGCATGGCTCAGATTTTCATAGTTATTATGACTATGTATTTATATTACAGTACAAATATTTCCCCCATGTTCCCCAGCCACCACACTTGTCTCATAATCATGTTTTATTATACTTATGAACATATATGTGTGGCATTTTTTACCACAACCAATTATTATGTAACATTTTGTTGTCCAATAAAATTTGTAATAATTTAGTCCCCACATATGCCTTTCTTCTTCTTTTCTTAATATGGATATACCACAGATGAACTTAACAATCAAACATTAACATGCTTTGATATTCTAACCAATAAAAACTTCATGTTGCCAAGTTTATGGAGGAGAGTGTGTAATGTAGAAATAGTGACGATTTTGCCCATCCTCTATCCATGTAAGTTAATACCATTCTATTTGTGTCTGTAAAGATCAAGCTATTGAATATTGGCACTTCAACAAGAAATGTCCACCTTCACCTTTAAGAATGTAGGACAATAAAGACAAACGTATATTGAATATTGACTCTATATATCTTTCATAACAATCGTTGCATTGGTTGCATATTTTGTACATTGATCGCACATTGACATTGTATTAGACTGATATATCATTTGGGGTAATATCGATTGCAAACCAGAATATCATATTGACATGCTTGTAAACAATGTATCCATGTTTTTTATGTTGCTTTTAGCAGATAATCAATCCCCCGTGAAATTAAAGAAATATCTGCCCGACTTTTGTCGAAAAGTAATGCTGCCAGTAGTGACATAACGGGGTTTGTTTACATTTGATTGGTCAATATAAAACAACCCTACAACATACCCGCACGTACACTCCCCTTCAAATGTTTGGTAACCTTATTCCCTTCATTTAACTATACGTGTTAAAGCCTCTTTATGTTTGATTTTTTATTTACATAACCGGCGAGGAAAATACTTATAATATTGATGAAAATGTAACTTCATTTACAATGCCTCCGAATTTACAATTTTTTCCTCAATTACAATATGTCTAAAATTTATCATTTTAATGAATTGTTGTCATTATCATTCACAATTCCCTAAAATTGATCAGACGCCATTGAAAAAATATCAAGTCAGATATCGGTAAAACAGCCCTTGTTTACGCCAAAATACTAGTCAGTGGGCAAAGGGCGAACGCCACTTGACTCAAAATTATCTTTCAGATAACCCAATTAAACGCATTTTAATGATCAGAAGAAATGGCTTGTTATCATTGCAAAAAGATGACAACTGTACCTACATATTAGCTTACTGATTCGTCATGATCACGATTGTTTTGTGGACTACATTAATTTTTTAGAACTACTTTTTTCAGCGGAAGTGACGTATCAGGGCAGTTTGGCCATCATGCATCAATTTTGCCAGTCTGACAGACGTATCTCTTCAATATTCGGATGTTGAATCCTCTCTTTGCTGTAGGTAATCCTAAAGCTTATCAGGATGTTGATTTTTTCGAGTAATCGTCCGCCATGTTAATGCTATAAACAAATGAAATTAGCAAATCATGACCTTTGACCTTGCAATCTCAAGAAGTTTCGTTCAGAGCAATCGTGTTCGGCGGGCCAATGGAAAGTTGTCCCTTCCAAAGCGATGCACCATGGCAACTATTATGTAAATGACCACTGAATTCTTATCGCGAATGGGAATATTGCTATATAATTAATTACCAGGCAATAGAAGTGATTGGGTTTTCAATTATACCGGTGTGAAAGAAATTATGGTCCCCCAGGGATTATGGTCCCCTTTCTAAAGGCCCTTACTGGCCCTGATTGTGTATAAGATAATAAGGGATAGAGTTGTATTTAGGTCATCATATAAATCAATGGAGAGTAGGACCATACTTTGATAGGACCTCCTACCCTTTTACAACGACTGCACCGCCCTAGATCCTGGAAATTCCAATTAGAGAGCAAACACGTTCTTTCAATTTTACAGTTATATTTACGTAAACTCAATTTTTCTTTTTGAGTATTAACAGTCAAGGATCCAAAAGTAATATAATGTTGGAAATTCGGTCTAAAACATTTGTCATCAAGGGGGAAAATGTCACAAAACAAATCAATCAATGTTGCGCCTTTTTAATATAATATGTGATGGCGTATTCGTTCAAAAAGTCATAAAAACTAACATATTTTACCTTACCTTTAACAGCCTGTGCCTATTCATTTAACAATTCAGTAGTCAACGTCAGACTGAATAATGTGTCATTAATTTGAAGCATTATTTTATCACTAAAAATGCTTCATGGAATATCATCTAGAAGCCTGCATATTATTCAAATCATCCTTTTTAATTTACCTTTATTTTTTCAAAACCCCTAAACACTAATAATACCATTGAAAAAAGCAGTATATATAGGATTTCTACATCCCTTGTAATCCCTTGCTTAAGAAATATACATCCATGTTTTCATGTTTTTGAAATTTGGAATGCAAATATTCAGACTATAGCCCACATATGTAAAAATTGGGATTGAAAATTATTTGTTTACATAGGAAATGCCATTCAAAATGGCCGATTGGGTAAATTAATTTGCATATTTGTTACTTCCCCTAGCTTCATTTCCATTTGACAATATGCTGTGTTACTTTTCATGGCATTTAATTGTACCTTACTACTTAATTGAATTGTTAAAATGCTTATTTGGAAGTGAAGTTTCCTAAAATTGATAATTGTGTGCAGGAGATTTCCTCTTTTTCCCACAGGAGGGACATAATGATCAATAGACTGAATTCTCAGGAAATTCAGTCTATTGGATAGAGACTACTTTTAGATCACTATCAAAGCCTGTTAAATGTGTAAATAATTAATATCCAAACTATTGAAATTAATGAAATTCAGATTCAAACACTAACTTGCTTTGATATGCCACCAATGAAAACTTCCTGAAGCCAATTTTATGGAGGGGAGTGTATATGGTAGACATATGGACATTTTGTTCATCCTCTATAAATGTCAAGGCGAGTTAATACCATTCTATTTAAGTCTGTAAAGATCAAGCTATTGACTATTGGCACTTCAACGAAGTTGACTTTCTTAACCTTAAATAATGTATGACAACAA